AGAATGCAGCTTTAACACATGAAGCATTGACTTCACTCTTCAGAACCAGTGTTTGCCGCCTGGTTGCGACGCGTCTCTGTGTGATCGGCCTCTGAGCGTTGTGGCTGACGTATATCTGAGACTCCTTAAACAAAAATAGTGTGAAAAACGAGCCCTCTTGACGTTGAATGAGTAGAAGTTTCACGCGATTAAAGCAGCTTTTAATTCATTCTGATGGCATTAATTGTTGAAAGTGTCAGCAGTGCTTGTTGCGGTCGTCCACGGTGGCTTTTGAAGGTACCACTGTAGGGCGTTAAAATGTGAGTGAATATTTTCAGCTTATTCTGCTGCCCCCCCCCCCCCCCCCCCCCCCATCCTGTGGCCAAAAAATCATAATGCAAGTTTAAGTGTTACAAAACTGCACACTGATGCCACATAACAACGACCCACGGCACGCTGAAGCAGAGGAAGGTCCCTACATTGATCAGGATGCTTTGTTTTTCTCATCTATCCTCTTTGGTTTCCCTCTTTTTAGAATTTCCCCACACTGACACTACTTCACACATGACGCAACATTTCACGGATAAAACGCACTCAACTCGGTTTGAATTTTCAAGCCGTGGTTTTGAACTGTTCGGTCTGCATCGAGTGTCTCCTCAGCAGCATCCTCCTGGTCATCTCTTTGGGGTGGCCAGGAGGAGCGGAGGGGAGGAAACTCCTCATCCCGGATTCTTTCTCACAGAAACCACCTCCAGCACCAGAGCTGAGGTTGTACACATTGAGGATGGGGTTGTTGGTGGAGTTGAGGGCCAGAGGTGGCAGACATCTAGGCTTGGCCTGGGAGTTGTGGTCCAACAGGAAGGCTCCAGATCCTCTGTGCTCGTGCCCAGACAGCACCCTCCTGCTCGGGCCCGACGTCGTCAGTGACTCCCTGGAGCCCAGTGTGCTGGAGCAGCGTAAAGGGGCCAGCCTCTTGCCCTCCGTTAGGTCTCTCGCTCTCTGCTGGGACTCCTCGGGCAGATTGTGGACGTCTCTAGCGAGCTGCGGGTCGGAGCTGTAGATGTCCCCGAGTTTGCGTCTCTGGATTATGCTGTGAAGGCTCGACGAGGTCATGCTGTGGAGCGGAGTGCCGTGGTTTTTGCCACCAGAGAAGGAGGAAGAGGCGGCGAGCGAATCTGCTCCGAGGTTTGCGGAGTGGAGGTTCGGGTGGGAGGCAGAGTGGGACGACAGGAGACCTGGTAAGGAGATCTTTTGTCCCACGTGTTTGGCACATTCATTCTTTACTTCTGCTCCTTTGTCCCTCGCTGATCTTCCTTCGTACCACTTGAAGCTGTTGCTTGTTGAATTTGTGCCGTCCAGTTTGGGGATTCTGAGAGCAAGATCCTCAGTTTGGTTGAGGTCTTTGCTGTTTTCTGAAGACGAGGCTGCGTGAAGCTGCTGGCTGAGCAGAGACGCTGGGATCTTTAGCCAGGGCTCAGAGTTCAACCTCAGGAGGGGCTGCTGCAGGCCGTTGGGCACCGCTTGTCCGAGCCTTTGAAACCGGGATGGGGAACAGGGATGGGAGCTTATGCCACTGGACTGGGCATCTTTAAAGGAGAAGACAGTCTTTTGTGGACATAACGAAGAGGAGGTGCACTGGGGGGAGGTGATGAGCTGGATCTCAGAGGGAGATGCGGGAGCTGCTGATGCCGTTATGTCCGTCCGATCAAGAGGACCAAGGGGAGGCATACTGAGGTACTGCTTGGCTTGCAGTTTCCCACATGGGAATTTGTCGGTGGCTATGATGATTACCTCCTTCCCCTTGGCCTTGCACGTGTCGAGCAACAGCTTTAGAACCTTCCAGTCTCCGGCCATGACGGCGTAGACCAGCGCGGACGTCCCGGACTGATCCTCCAGGCCGATGTCCGCCCCGCTAGCCAGGAGCAGAGATGCCACCTCGGGGCCGGCATGCTCCCGGCAGGCGTGCATCAGCGCCGAGCGTCCCTCCTTGTCCTGGATGTCGGGGTCCGCTCCTTTCTCCAGAAGAAACTGGACAAGCTTGTCCCGGCTGGCGCTCTGGGCGTCGGTGTGCTGGGTCCTGCAGGCCACCATCAGGGGCGTCTGGCCTTGGCCGTCGCTCTCGTTGATGTAGGCGCCTCCCTCCAGGAGCAGCCGCGTGAGTCGCAGGCGACGGAGGAAGACTGCTCTTAGCAAAGGGTTACCTGAGTCCATAGCTACCCCGGGATTACTGCCTTCTCCCTCCATCGCTCTGGGTCCTGGCTGGCGGGTTGTGGAGATGCAGTAGAGCAGGTTTCTGTGGAAAATAACAAAACACTTTTAGAGAATTATGCAGCGCGGGAAGCTATTTTCAAGCACAAGCCACAACTTCTGACTGCATTCTCAGGTCAAACACGTCACACAGCAGCGAACTCCCACTTTTATTATGTTTGTCGTTCATCATTTGATTCTTGTTGGATTCCTCATCTGTTTTACTTCAGCCTCAAAGATGTGATGTAATAGATTTTAAGGTTCTTTCAATTACTTGCATGTCATGTCATGATAACTACTTTTTGTCGGTCCAAAAGTAATTGCGATAAACACCAATGTTGTCATTTTAAGACCATTTTATGCCACTGCTATAATGATAATAATAATTTTATGAATATTCAAGATCATGTCCAAAGTCAACAAAGTAAAGATGATGACGGTCATGTCCATGTACATCGTATCATAAGTAGATAAAGTAATTCTTGTGACAGGCCTACTTAACATTTCTCCGATCATTCATAAATCATTTAAATAAATGAAACATTCTGCTGGAGCAGACTGACTCAGTGGCATCTGTTGAACTTACAACGTACGTTTATCGCCCCACCTGATTTCATCTGAGTCATTATTCCGTCTGAGGATTCTGACATTTTCTTTAATTTTTTTTATGTGGTTCGATTAGTATTTTTTATTAATTTAATTCCTGTATTTATATGTTTCTATGTGATGTATCCTTTGCTTGCTTCCTTTGAAGCACTGTGTGTCATCGTTTTGTACCATAAATATGTTAAAATGATTACTGGTATGTGTGAAAAGCAGAACATGTAAAGTCCTTTATTTGTTCTTGCATATAGGATCCATTCAACAGCTCCTTTTCATGAGCTCGTCCTCCAGCACCAGCAGAGGCAGAGACGCTTTCTAGCAGCCTTTGTGCTGTTTGTCCTTGCTTCTCTCTATTGGACCAGATGTCTCAGACGGTATGAGTCATGGACCATGACATTAAAATACATCGATTTTAATGTTTGAGTGAATCAATTCAACAAAACACTTTTAAATATTATTTAGGTAAAAATGGCAGTGAGGTGTTTAAATGCATCATCTGCTGCATGTCAGGATTCTGCAGTGTGTGATTTAAAATCACATCAGAACGGACCCAGATCCTCCAGCAGAGACCGGTCCACCATGGACGGACCCTGATCCTCCAGCAGAGACCGGTCCACCGTGGACGGACCCAGATCCTCCAGCAGAGACCGGTCCACCGTGGACGGACCCAGATCCTCCAGCAGAGACCGGTCCACCGTGGACGGATCCTGATCCTCCAGCAGAGACCGGTCCACCGTGGACGGACCCAGATCCTCAGGCAGAGACCGGTCCACCGTGGACGGACCCAGATCCTCCAGCAGAGACCGGTCCACCGTGGACGGACCCTGATCCTCCAGCAGACACCGGTCCACCGTGGACAGACCCAGATCCGGCTTCACCTGCAGCCTTGGACCTGCAGTCGGAGCTCCGGAGGGAGGAGGAGAGCTCAGCTCCCGGCAGCAGCAGCAGCGTCGTCTCCTCCTCCTCCTCCTCCTCCTCCTCCTCCAGGAGCAGAGCTTCTCCTCTCTGGGAGCCAACACCACGCTGCTGGAGACCCAGGATGTATTGCTGGACTCGCTGGAGGGAAGGGAGGCACGGGAGAACCAGAACCAGGACCAGGACTGAGAGGGGCAGACTGTCAGACCCTGCTGCAGTAAAATGAGAGGTTCTCTAAAGGGACTCTGGTGCTCAGAGACACTACCACTTTAGTCCACAGAACCAACACAACATGGAAATCTTCATTTCTTGATTGCATCCCAGTAAATATGCAAATGTTTTCTGTCTCCTTCCTCTTCTTCTGCTTCATCATGCCGTCAGCACCGGCATCATCACTAAAAACAACCGGGCTCTTTCTTCTTCTGGCAGCCACACGTGTGTCTAAGACAAAACACCACCTGCATGCTCCATGTTTGACAGATGAGATGGAGGAGGTGTGCATTTAGTCATGCTGCTCTTTTCTTATTCGTCTTTCCATCACTGTTGCACGGATCAATTATTGAGTCATTAAAACACTTTGTTACAGAACTCTACAGGTTTGGTATTCTTACTTGACAAATTTATGGTACTTGTACTTTACTTGAGTATTTCCATTTCAGGATATAAAGGAGTTAACATGCAACATACACATTAGTGCAGCAGGAATATTAATCCAGTTTCACGTGGCCAGTGAAACACAGTATATCTCAACATGTACTACATGGATTATTAAAACAGTTTGTACAGACATTCATGATCCTCAGAGGATGAATCTTTTCCTCTAGCGCCACCAGCAGGTTGGCATTTGTAGTTTTTTAGGGAAAAGTCTTGACGACTGTTGGAGCTGTTTCATTAGTTAGGTTATTTGATTATTATTTTGTATTTATTTGTGTAGACACTAGGGGCGCTAAGCACCAGATGGAGCACTTGTTGGGTGAATGGCATAAAGGTAGCAGGCGTGTCAGGTGATGCACCAGGAAGGAGAGAAGCAGCATGTGTTTGTTTTGAAAACTGGAAAAACTGGAAAAAGAAATCAACCTAAATGTGAATCTTGCCTGGACAGTTATTAATGGTGCATCAGAGACCTCATGTTGTCCTCGGGATGAATTGTATTAAGTTGTGTGACCCCAAATTACCATCACGAGGTAAGAATGTTCTCTGCTTAATGACCAAAAACCTGCACAAGCTGCACTTTGTGTTTACTGCTAATTAGCAACTGTTAGCATGCTAACAGGCCAAACTAAGATGGTGAACATGGAAAACACTATACCTGCTCAACAACCACATGTTAGTGTGCTGATGTTAGCATTTAGCTCAAAGCACATCAGGTGTAACCTCACAGAGCTGCTGGCACGGCCCGACCATCTGTAAACATGTTTGTCTATCACCTTTCCAAGTAGCCATCTTTCTTTCTTCTTCTGTGGTGTCATTCACGTGCATTCTCACTTAAACCAAACAGCTGATTGACTTTGGTGCAAAAAGTATTCAGTTACATTAGTCAATTAGCCGACGCTTTTATAAATAAAAATGTTTTTGTCTGTGTTGTCTCCCTTTTAAGTGAAACTAGTAATTCTACAAATAATAAAAAAACAACACAAGTTTTATCAGCAAAGTATAAAGTAAAAGTACACACTACTGAGGCAAAATGGCCTCTCTCATAAAATATTACACAATTGAATAATCATTGCTGCATTAACATGCAAACAGCATCTCACATATTTATTGTATCTTAACCTGCAAAATAAATACAGCTGTCGGATTATAGCGAAGTACAAAACACAATCTGTTCTTCTTAAATGTCATGGAGCAGCAGGAGGAGGCATAAATACCCAAATAAAGTACATTCGTTCTGATTTTTGTTGAAATTTCTTTGGTCGTCATTGTTCGAAAGGACAGACGGCAAACGTCACCCCTGGAATCAGCTTCACATCTTCTGTTACAGCTCTGTGTGCATTAAGTAACAACGACACACATCCAGCCGTACCTTGTTTAGCTCCCATGCAATAGAGGTTCTACATGTATAAAAAGAGCTGCGTTTTCTACTCTGCTCACCTGATGTGGGTGTTAACACCCTCACATTGAAGCTTAAAGTCTGCACTTTTCCCTTATTGGTTTCCCGTCAAAATCAGAGTGTTAATACTTACAGATGTCACTCCACACACACTGTGCTGCTCCTATTGTCCAGTGTTTGGTTTCCATCCTGCCCGCAGATTGAGAATAGAAAGACTCCACTTCACCTGAACAGGCTTCGCTCAACACTCATCCTCTATAAGAGCCCTCTAACATCACTCTGTGTGTGTGTGTGTGTGTGTGTGTGTGTGTGTGTTGGTGGTGCACACGTCCGAGCTGTGCAACACAATCTCGAATAGATAAAATGCTGCAACTAAAGCTATTACCAACCGGATTCTGACAAAAGATGAAGTTTAGTTGATGATAAATGTTTTGCTGTGTGTGTGTGTGTGCACTACTTACCAACAACCTTCAGTCAGGATGAGTCCTCTCCTGCAGACATGTATGTTGCAGACCAGGCAGCGCTGACTCGATATGTGTGTGTGTGAGACAGGAAGTCAGAGGAGCTGCAGCAGCACTCAAGGTTTCTCCGCTCGTGTTTGCTCCTCAGACAAAGTGTCCGAAGCTTATCGTCAGGCAGGTGTAAGAAACGGTTAATCCATCACAGCAGCAGCAGCTCTGCAGAGTCACAGAGAGGCAGAGCTGGGAAAGGTTGACGGAGATGAGAGCGATGAAGGTGAAGCACTATAGCAACCCGGCGCCGCAGAGCATCTCACTCCTCTCCTCTGATTCACTGAAAGGCCTTCTTCTTTTAATTGTGAGATCCAGCCTCCAAGCACTTATTCTTCTTCTTCTTCTTCTTCTTCTTCTCTTAGTTACACTGAAAGGAAAACTGTTTTGTCCACCTTGCCAATGACATCTCCATGACAACCATCAAGGAGGCCGGATGACGGCACATGTTGAAGAACTGTGTGTGTGTGTGTGTGTGTGTGTGTGTGTGTGTGTGTGTGTGAGCGAGCAAGATCCTGTGCATATACTCTGCATGAGATTTAATTATTGTGATATCAACATATAGGAGAATGTGGTTTATTGGTGAAATAAATAAGAATACAGACATTAAAGAAAGAGATGAAAGAGAAACAGTTTGTTGCTTTAACATCAGATCGTGAGGATATTTAGAGTTCTTGTTTAACTGCAGCAGTTAAAGCAAACTGGCGTCGTGATTTACAAAATCCTGCATGATTTAAAAAAAACAAAAAACCAACAACAGTGTTCTTGGTGTCTTCTGCCCAGACATCACTAACCCAGCTGTTAATTGTCCAGACCTGTAGCCATAGAAACACTGACTTCACGGTGTAGTTCATGAAACCACCACCAGGTGTCAGCATCGAGCAATATCTCATTATATCACACCTGTAACGTAACCTTTAGTTTCAGACAGGGGTCCCGAATAAACAGGCAACTCGGTGTGTTTGAACGATAATAAGTGACTAAACCTGAGGTGGAACAAATTAGACTTTAGAAAATAAAAAATAACGGAGAGATACTGTAAAAATTACAGAATTTGAGTGTTTTTTACTGGTTAGTGTGTGTTTATCTGAATTAAATTAAAAGCGGCAGGATGAGATATTTATTAACATTTTTTAATTAAATTTTAATTACATTTTTTATATATATATATTTTTTATTATTATTATTATTATTATTAGCAAAGTAGCTCAAATGCAAGACAAACAGAACATTAGAATTAACAAGTTAGACAGAGTGAAAGGTTGTTGAAAAGCATCTGTTAGTTACAATTTTGATTAAACAGTAATAGAGAAAATATAGAAATAAATATTTCTATTCAAACTTTACATTCAGATCAATTTGTTAAGTGTTGTTTTTGTGATGCAGTAAAATCATTTTTAAAGGGACTCTGGTGCTCAGAAACACTCCCGCTTTTGTCCACAGGGGGGCTCCAAAACCAACACTAAATGAAAGTTCTTTATTGTACCAAAAGTAAAAGTGCTCATCATGCTAAATAATGTATATTATATTACTGGATTATAATTATTGATGCATTCACTTTAATGTTGCAGCTGGTAAAAGCAGAACTCATTTAAATGGCTTTAGATTTTGCTGGTAGTTTAATCTGTTATAATATTATTATTTTAATATTTATTTTAGTCGTTTCAGAGCCACCTGTTGCCCAGGTGTGTAAAGGTTCGTCTGGGTGAAGTTGGACCAGAAGAGACCGACGTTATGATATCTTACATCCTGTTTTGTTACACATTCACAGCTCATTTGCTTCCCTCTCTGACGGCGTAGAATCAGTAACAAATGAAAAGCAGCACACGATCCTCTGCTGCTCTGATGGAAACCAGCGCAGTGAACAAGGACTCTCAGCTGGAAACAGGAGACACCCACGGGGCTGTATGTTTAGCCTTCATGACTAACCACCTGCCTGATTGCCCTCTTAGGGAGAGAACACACTTTTATTTTTTATTTTGGAGATGATTTATAGCTGCAAAAGAGAGAAGAGTTTCCCCATGACAGTCATTGTGTCTTTAAACATATGAACACAACATTAAACCCTTTATTTATTAAAGTATTAATGCAGAAACATGCAGTACATTTAATGTAACATTCTCATGGATTCGTCTAAGCATTAAAGGGACAGTAGTGATGTTTAGAAGTGTGTTTGTATGAGGTTCTTCTCCACAGTCAGTGGTTTACTAGTAGAGTACTGTACACAAAGTAACGTTCTGCTGAGGACGTATTTAAGACAAATACAATATCAGTTTAAGTGAACGCTATATTTCTTTGGAGTCGCATTGTCTCTCTTTGGTTGTTTTGCATCTCTGTGATTAATCTGTTATGTAGAACAAAGATAAATCATAAAACTATACATGCAGGCGACTCGACTAAAGGACAGCGATGCGCTGTGACTCTTAAAGAAATAAAAACACCAGAAATGATGCAGCAGCTTGTGAAAAGTGTGCAGCAGAAGATGAATCTAATAAACTGTCAGACAGTAAAACAGTATAAAGGATGTGGATGTGATCCGATGATTGGATGATGTTTGGTGGTTTATGTGCAGCGGTCATCGTGGCAGACACACAGTGATAGTAATCCTCCATAATCCTCTGCTGGCTATATGTACAGATGAGAGTGCTGTTATTAAAGCCCCTTATGTTCCCACCGCAAGACCAGCCACGCTATGGGAAGATGGGCCCCTGGACACAGAAAGGGCCCCCACCCCCACTAACAAGAGTCACAGCTTCAAAGAGACATATTCTTGTTTTTGCATTGTTTCCATTTACATCTCTCTCTCTCTCTCTGGTAGTTTTGGGTCTGTTTCTGGTTGCTTTGCATCTCTTTTTGGTCATTTTGCATCACTTTGGAGTCATTTATCATCTTTTTTTGTTTGCTTTTGCGTCTATTTGTAGTAGTTTAATGTCTCTTTGTAGTAGTTTAGTGTCTCTTTGTAGTCGTTAAGCATCTCTTTGTAGTCGTTTAGCGTCTCTTCTTGGTTGCTTTGCATCTCTTTTTGGTTGCTTTGCATCTCTTTGTAGTAGTTTAGCGTCTCTTTGTATTCGTTTAGCTTCTCTTTTTGGTTGCTTTGCATCTCTTTGTAGTAGTTTAGCGTCTCTTTGTAGTCATTTAGCGTCTATTTGTAGTTGTTTAGCGTCTCTTTGTAGTCGTTTAGTGTCTCTTTTTGGTGTTTTGCATCTCTTTGTTGTAGTTTAGCGTCTCTTTGTAGTCATTTAGCATCTCTTTGTAGTCGTTTAGCGTCTCTTTTTGGTGTTTTKCATGTCTTTGTAGTCGTTTAGTGTCTCTTTTTGGTGTTTTGCATCTCTTTGTAGTTGTTTTGCATCTTTTTTGGTGTTTTGCATCTCTCTGTGGTAGTTTTGCGTTTCTTTTTGGTTGAGTTGCATCTGTCTGTAGTCGTAATGTGTCTATTTTTGGTTGCTTTGCATCTCTTTGTGGTTGTTTTGCATTTCTGTTTGGTAGATAAACTTCTCTTTTTTTGCGCTCTTTTCCTAAATCTAACTAAGTAAGTAAGTAGGTAAACCGAACTTCCTTTGAAGACGAGGACGTTTATTTTGAAAAGACACTCAAAGCATAAAACAAGTAAAAAACTGACACTCCGTCACTGACGCGTCCACAACTGAAGCTAGAGGGGAACCTAGAGCGTCATAGATTGAAGCGTAGGAACACTGACGAGTTGGGAGTGAGAATGTTCCTTCAGTATCTGAGTACGACTTCCAGCACTTCTGCTTTGTGAGCGATCAGATTGTCAAACTGAGCCGTTTCCCCTTCAGCCTGAAAACCAGTTGAAACTGAGCAGCAGTGCCCTCGACCTCTCCTTTAACCTCGGAGGGATTGTTTCTCTCTGCAGCTCCGCTGATGATATTAAGCTGCAGTGAGACTTTTTCATTTGTCAGCGTTCCCACTGTTTGCCCGTGGACATCAGATATGGTCTTTAAAGCTTTGGAAGCGATGAGACGCGACAGGATGAGGTTAATCTTCCTCAGTGGTTAATGTGATCACTCCCCAAGACTTTATAGTCTACGAAACTGTGCAACATAAGACATCAAAACAGTTCTGATAGTTGAATCATCATGTTCGGTCTTTTTTTATAAGGAAAAACACCAAATATTTAAAAAAAAAAACTGATCATACATCCAAACAGACCTGATCTTCTGGTCTTTCGTGCCACGTCTTTCACTCAACCTGCTTCCTTTGGCCTGAGCGCGTGCAGAAGCGTCTCAGGATGAAGGTGGGTTACAGGAGTTGGCGTGCGGTCCCTTACCTGGCGGTTCCGTTTTAGCAGCCCAGTGGGAACAGATCTGCACCAGCGTGGGTTTGATCATCCTGCTGGTGTGGGCAGCAGCCAATCTGCTGAACTGGGAAACTCTGTCTCTGTTTATCACTCCATCAAATAAAACCTCACCAGGCAGTGATGGAAGAAGTATTCAGGCCCTGTACTTAAAATACTAATACCACACTGTGAAAATAAGTCCTGCATTGAAATATTCCTTCAGTAAAAGTATAAAACAATAATCAGTAAAATGTAGTTAAAGTATTAAATCTGTGACTATTCTACCATTATATATTCCATCTTGGTTTTTGGCCATAACATCTTGTTTTTTTAGAGTAAATGTACGTAGTCACTGCAGAGACTTCATCAGTAAACTGATACTAACAACAGATTGGAATCTTCTGTGTGTGACATTCTGTCTTTTGATGGTGTGATTCATGTGTTATCTGTTACACGATGTCCACAACCTCAATGTGTGTGCGTGTGTGTAATACCCCCCATTCTCCCCCC